TCACATCAGGTTTCAAAGACGTACTATGAAAAAAAAGAGTGTAAAATACCCCATGAAGAATTTTATAGAGCTCATAGGTCAGAATAATATTTTGAAACTGTAAGGTTAAATAAAATATATTATTAAAATTAATTTTATTTATTTTCCCTTTTTAACGTGGCTTTTAAAAGATCTAAAATTATGTATGTGGCTACCAGTATATTTTGATTGGACACAGCTGATCTAAAGGAAGACTAGAAGTTACCTAAAGCTGAGTGGGACTGAGGTGGCAGTTGTGGGGGGGGGGGGATGCTGGGTGAGGGTTCTGGATAGGGTACAGTGTGTGCAGAGCTCCTGAAGCAAGAAAGAACACAGCATGCTCAAGGAAATTAAAGAAAACCAAAGCCTCACAGGTCACATGAAGGATTTTGAACTTTATCCTAAGACCAACCGAAAGTGATTGGGGATTTTATTTTATGTATTTATTTTTTTTTAAGATTTTATTTATTTATTTGACAGACAGAGAGATCACAAGTAGGCAGAGAGGCAGGCAGAGAGAGAGAGTAAGGGAAGCAGGCTCACCACCAAGCAGAGAGCCCGATGCGGGGCTCGATCCCAGGACCCTGGGATCATGACCTAAGCTGAAGGCAGGGGCTTTAACCCACTGAGCCACCCAGGTGCCCCTGATTGGGAATTTTAAATAGGGTGCTCACTTTTCAGGATGTTTGCAGCTAATCAGTGAGGGCATGAGAGCTACATCCGAATATAGCAAGACTCTCAGAATCCAAGCTTCTCCCTGCCCCGCCCCAAAAGATGGTGGGGTGGAGGCATTTGGTCAGGACCCAGAGGGAGCAGGACCGCAACCAACACCTGCCTGGGCCCCAGGATCCAAGGACAAACACCCCGGACAAGAGGGGGAAGCAGACACCTGGGAGAAGCAGTTTTGCTTTCAGTTCACTTTCAGCTGGGTTAAAGCTCAGAGCTGGCAGAAGCATTCTAGGAAGAGTACAAAGTTGAGTAGAAGTTTGATTCCAGAGCTGGGCTTTACAGGGCCCTGGCCAAGGGTTTGGTGAAGGAGACAAGGAGGGCGGCACATGTGGAGGTGAGGGGGTGTTAGACAAAGCAAGGGAAAGCCAGGATTGGAGCCTGGAGGCTGGGCGTCTGACCATCTCCCAGGGTATGGTGGCCTCTCCCTTCATCTGCGGCCTGGAGGAGATTTCTTTGGAAGTCACGGTTCACATATTCACATGTTAGCAGACTCAATCTAGCCTCCGGACATGTTTCGTTTAGCTCATATTTTTCAAATATATCTACATTAGTCAGCAGTATTAATATCAGATGTCACATAAAAAAGGTGCATTTTTGGTGTTCTTGAAAATTAGAAGATCTGGGAACCCCAGTTCATCAGCCTCACAGAGAAATGGGGGAGCTAAGTAGTCACTTCTCCTTTTAGTTTTATATGAACTTTTAGGAGTGGAAATGGCCCTTTTTGTGTTTTTTGAAAACTTTTTTTTTAGCCCGAAGACAAAACTGAGTTCATAGGTTCTCTGTGGTCTGACTCGAAGTCTTACATTCTTACATTCTCTCCAGTGTTTACTTTGAGGAGTTCCATCTTATGTTTGTTCCCCAGAAAGATCCTAAGAATGGGACCCTTGGTTCAGTGAGACGGCCTTATGCAAAAGCTCTGTCCATTTACACAAGAGTCGCATCCATCAGAGAAGCCTGTGTGGTCCTCACAGTTCTCTAAGGTTCCCATTACCCCTGTGGCCCAGTGTCACTGCTCTTCCCCTCTGTCTGGCCCCCCAGACGTGTGAGTTTGCAGCCCCTGCCTGAAACTTTAAATGAGACTGACTGGGCTGCTGTGTATTTGTTGGTAAACACTTGGTATACCAGCTCCCATGGTGATTAAAATCTTAAAGATTGCAAACTCTAAACCTCAACACCTCCTCTGTAAATATTCAGCGTTAATTAAATAGGAAGTCCGTTGATAGCAGCAAGGAGGAGAGAAGGAAGTACCTTTGTTTACCCAAGATAGATGCACTAGTTTAGTACCTTATCCTGTATCCACCCCTGGAGGCCAGAGTGAGGGAAGGGCATATGTGTAGTCTTTCTGGCTATAGTATAGTTTCTCTGCTCCAGTGTATGTATTGGGGGGCTGAGTGGGGGGGAAAGACTGGAAACAGAAATTGTTCTATTTCTCAAACAAATCAAGCAGATAGAGCAGATTTAGAATACTGCCAAGCTTGGCAGTAAGTGCTGGGGTATTCATGTTCTTGCTCTATTTTGTTCTCTTGATATAGTTCATAAACAAAGGCAATGGAGAAATGCTTTTGCTTACAGAGTTTGTGCAACATGCCCTTTTCCATTTGAAGGGAAAATAGCTTCATTAGCATAAGGAGGCTTCCCCCTTGACAAGACAGAGTAAGGGTTGAGCGGGCTTCTCTTTCCTCCATCCCCCCTCTCCACCAGAAGCAAAAACCAAAACAGTAACTGTTACAAGGGGGTGAATGCAGTTTTTGACTGATCAGAAGCTTCTACTATTTGGTGAACTGGGCTCTTAAAAGAAAAAAGCAATACAAAAAATGTCTTTCTTTTGCAAATTAAACACACACACACATACACGCGTGCACACACACACGCACATTCATTATTTGGTTTCTCCCAGTGCCCCAGGAGGAGTTTGTTCAAGTGAAGGAGCCTGAAGCTTGAGCTTCATTAGCTTCATGGTTATTCTGCTTCAGGGCACCAGTAATCATGCAGCAAAACGCTGCCCAGATGTCTTTCATCCTGTTCTCTGTTCTCCCGCCATCCCCGAAGGAGTGCTGAGGGAGGGTAGAAGCATCGCTCTCCAGAAATTCTCAGCTCTGGGAGGTGGTTTCGCCTGAGCCCCGAGCCCAGTCTCTTCCAGATGCTTCCTGCTTTTCATGCAATAAAGCTTCAGACCTGATGCTTGACAAGAAATGGAAGTCCAGGGGCGCCTGGGTGGCTCCATGGGTTAAGGCTCTGCCTTCGGCTAGGTTATGATCTTGGGGTCCTGGGATCCAGCCCCGCATCAGGCTCTCTGCTCAGCAGGGAGCCTGCTTCCCCCTCTCTCTCTGCCTTCCTCTCTGCCTACTTGTGATTTCTGTCAAATAAATAAAATCTTAAAAAAAAAAGAAAGAAAGAAAGAATTGGAAGTCCAGGGGCACCAGGGTGCTCAGTCATTGGGCCTCTGCCTTAGGCTCAGGTCATGATCCCAGGGTCCTGGGATCAACCCCCACATCGGGCTCCCTGCTTGGCGGGGGGAGCCTGCTTTTCCCTCTCCCACTCTCCCTGCTTGTGTTCCCTCTCTCACTGTCTCTCTCTGTCAAACAAAAATAAAATCTTAAAAAAAAAAAAAAAATGGAAGTTCAAACCCCAACCACCCTCATCTTTCACCTACTTGCAGACTACCTCAGTCCGCTTCCTCCCTCAGGAGGTCCTCCTGGGTTGCCTTCACCTGAAATAAGATGAAACCTTATGGTAAAGGCTCTTTTCCCATCAGAATCTCTAGGAATTACTAAAGAAAGGAAGCAACTAGATAGCTAGATTCCAGTTAACTTTGTCGCCGATGGTTACGTAACCGTGGGTGAATCACAGGCTAAGTTGCACAGAGCGGGGCTTGCCAAGAATGGCAGAGGACCGGGCCCCGATGTTCCTATCATTTTTACTCCCCAGGGTGGAAAACGCAAGGGTGGAAATGGAAAGCAGTGGGCAAGGAAAGGGAGCGGCATCTGTCAGCATTAGTATGTCCACAGCAAGGAGAGTGGAGGCAGCCTGAGGTGGCCAGAGCTCAGCCAGAACCGAAGGCAGCAGAATCTCTGGGGGACAGAGTGGGACCAGCAGAGCTTCGCCAGCAGCTTAACTTAGGGAATTCCGAAACACTTTAAAGTTGTCTGTGGCACTCTACCAGACTCTCCCGCTGAGATGCGGCTGGCTTCCGCGGGACAGTTTAAGGACCAGGGAGGAGGAGTCCCGGCTTCCTTATCTGTGTGCTTCCTCTCACTCCTGCCGCCCTGCTCCCGCTAATCTGTTCCCACAGGCGGCATCTCGGAGCTGCTGGCATTTGATAGCTTGTTTGGCTTCCGGGTTTATGCCTCGATCTTGAGGCCGGTGAGATTATTTCAGTGAGTGCCACGTTCAGCGTTAGTGTTGCTTTAAATCACTTTTAGTGTTGTTTGAATGTTGAGCCTTAGATTTTCTTCTAGGTCATGGAGCTTATGGCATTGAAGAGCTAGCTGCCCCCAGTTAGTGATTTACATCCCGGATCAGTGTGGTGGAGTCATCGAATGAACCTGTTTAACTTCTGTAATAAAGCGAGACTGGTAAATACTTCTTTTTTTCACCAGAAGAAAAGCGAAGTGAGGAGGATGCCTTCGACCCGGAGTCAGCTGCTAGTAGCTGGGAACTCCCAGCTACTAGTCATCCTTTTAGACATCTATAACTCATTCCATTAAATCCTCTCTTCTGGGGGCGCCTGGATGGCTCAGTGGGTTAAGCTGCTGCCTTCGGCTCAGATCATGATCTCAGGGTCCTGGGATCGAGTCCTGCATCGGGCTCTCTGCTCAGCAGGGAGCCTGCTTCCTTCTCTCTCTCTCTCTCTGCCTGCCTCTCCATCTACTTGTGATCTCTCTCTGTCAAATAAATAAATAAAATCTTTAAAAAAAAATCCTCTCTTCTGTAAGCACAGAAGGCCTTTTTATCTGGCAGAAATGCAGCAAGCCATTACAATGACGTGTTCTGTTGGTTTACATCATGCAATTAACATACTGTCTCGCCTTCAGAAAATTTAAGTTGACTAGGTTCCCCATAATGAATTATTTGTAGGATATGCCTGTATGTGCCATAGTGTATAAGGTGTTTGATCTCTTGATGTCAAATCTGGTCAAAGGAGTGACTTCAATTTAGTTCAGACACCGACTGTTGTAAAGTTGTGCTTCCATTCCTGGGAGTCAGTTGAATGAAGAATATAACAATATACTTTTTGTTCCTTCTCTTTCTAGATGTATTACTGTCATTGAGTATTGGCCTACCTGAAAGTGCTAGGGAAGCTCCACCATCAGGATGTCCAAGTACAAACTGATTATGTTAAGACATGGAGAGGGTGCTTGGAATAAAGAGAATCGTTTTTGTAGCTGGGTGGATCAGAAACTGAACAGTGAAGGAATGGAGGAGGCTCGGAACTGTGGAAAGCAACTCAAAGCGCTAAACTTGGAGTTCGATCTCGTATTCACATCCATCCTTAATCGGTCCATCCACACGGCCTGGCTGATCCTGGAAGAGCTGGGGCAGGAGTGGGTTCCGGTGGAAAGCTCCTGGCGTCTAAATGAACGTCACTATGGAGCTTTGATCGGCCTCAACAGGGAGCAGATGGCTTTGAATCACGGTGAAGAACAAGTGAGGCTCTGGAGAAGAAGCTACAATGTGACCCCACCACCCATTGAGGAATCGCACCCTTTCTACCATGAAATCTATAATGACCGGAGGTATAAAGTGTGCGACGTTCCTGTGGATCAGCTGCCCCGATCTGAAAGCTTAAAGGATGTTCTGGAGAGACTCCTTCCCTTTTGGAACGAAAGGATTGCTCCTGAAGTATTAAGTGGCAAAACCATTCTGATATCCGCTCATGGAAATAGCAGCAGAGCTCTCCTGAAGCATCTGGAAGGTACCATCTTTGTGCTACTACTTCCTAAAGGTTGCTAAGTGTTATACGTGAGCCTTAACCTAGAAGAGATGTGGTTTCTGAGCTTACAATGCACCACTGACATGACAGACTTTCTTTCCTATTCCTTTTTGCCTCTTTAGTCTTTTAAGAATCATTTTGTTCTATAAATCAAAACCCCTGTGCCTTTCACATTCACATTATAGACAGCAGTGATTCTAAATCTTTAGCAAGCATCCGAATTACCTGGAGGGAGGGTTTGGTCTCCCACAGATTGCTGACCCCATCCTTGGAGTTTTGGATATGTGGCTGGATAGGGATTTGGATATGGAGTGGGGCTGGAGAATTTGCACTTCTAAGATGTTTTATGGTAATGCCTATACTGCTACTTGGGGTACTCCACTTTGAGGACTCTTGATCTAAAAGATTATATGGTTTTTGTTGTAGTAACTTTTAGGGAGGCTAGGAAGGGTATACATTTCTATAGAAATGGTATGCAAAGCCAGTTTATTTATTTGAGTCTTTCCAGATAAATAAAATTATCTAGACTTTGGTTTTGCCCATGCTCTTCCAACTTTAAACAGTTATGGTGTTTCAGACCTGGCCTTCTTGAACAGTTTCTTTGTTCCAGCCCTCTCTTTCCAGACCAGGCTGAGTCATTGCTTGGGAGAAAGTTAGGGAGACAGAAAAGAAAAGGATGGCTTATTACAGATAATCGGTTGCCTCCATTTTATTTTAACTACTTGATGTTGTATTCTAAACATACTCCAAAATGTACACTATTGTTATCTTCCTCTTGAGTAACATGAACTAAATGAACTCTTGAGGACCTACACTCACCAGTTTGGGCATCAGTGATGTCCCTGTGACACCTTCAGGGGGTCTCTCCTTCCCCTTTCTCCCTTCACTAAGTAATCCCAGGCAACTGTGCGTTTTGAGTGATCTGCTCCGCCCACTGTTTTCCTGTCTGTCAGCACTCTCAGCCGCTAACCCATGATACTAGAATCATCTCTCCAACATTCCCTTCCCATTCTGCTTTACCTTTCTCTAAGAGCCGGTGAGAAATGAAGAGGTTGACATTGTTTGTGAAGTAAGTGAAAATAGGTTATTAACAAAACAAAGTGATCTTTATGAGATTTCATTGTAAACTTTTTAGCATGTGTTTTTACCCCTGATTTTTAGGTACCATGGCCAGGAGCCAAATCATTACTCCTGTACCTGCATCCATTAGTTGTGCAGAGATCTAAACTCTACAGACTTTACTGGCTATTAAAAATGTTACTGGCGGGGTGCCTGGGTGGCTCAGTGGGTTAAGCCTCTGCCTTCGGCTCAGGTCATGATCCCAGGGTCCTGGGATCGAGCCCCGCATCGGGCTCTCTGCTCAGCAGGAAGCCTGCTTCCCCTCCTCTCTCTCTCTGCCTGCCTCTCTGCCTACTTGTGATCTCTCTCTCTCTGTCGAATAAATAAATAAAATCTTTAAAAAAAAAAATGTTACTGGCTAGACATGGTGCTCAATCTGCTGGTATATGTTTGTGTATGTATCTAATTTACTCAACTCTATAAAAAGTTCTATTCTTCCTCTTCAGAATAGTCAGATATTGGATTAAATGACAAATAACTTCATCATTATTGGACTATAGTACTTTATTGTTTGAAGAAAAGTTGAGCCTTCTCTTAGGATAGCAACAAACTGAAATTGAGAGTCTCAAGAGTTTCTGCCGAAAGATGTATTCCGTCCCACGACACCAGCTCCTTTTTTTCCAAAGGTGGAGCTTAGAGCTCTTCGTGGCCAAGCTCCCTTCCCTAAAGAAAACGCCATCATCTCCTTTGGGATCCTCTTTTCGTCCCTGTCTTAGCTAGGAAATCCTCCCTTTAAAAGCGATGTCTGTTTAACACCATTTATTCTTCAACTGTCTTCAGGCTTAGCTGTCTTTAAGATTATTCTGCATCCCCAGCCATAGCTCATCTTAGATACCCTCATTCTCTTAGTGCATTGGTGACGTCACGATTTGTTACTGTTCTTTTCTTAAAGAAAACAGGGAGTTTTACAGATGGTGGTGAGGAAGACTATCCCCATGGTGGGGATGGAGGCCAAACCACCTGTGGAGGGAAAGGTTACCCATAGAAGCCTTACATTCTGCATTTGAGGGAGGTTTTGAAACCACTGATAATTTATTTAAAAAACAATCATTTGGGGTAGCTGCTGTGGAAAAGAATCTGGCAGCTTCTTGATAGATTAAACATCAGTTACCAGATGCTCCACTAATTCTACTCCTAGGTTAACCTGCATTCATTTCCTAATGCTGCTGAGACAAAGTATCAATCACTGCATGGCTTAAAACAACACATACTCGTTTTCTCACAGTTCTGGGGGCTGGAAGTCCTAAAGTAAAGTGTTGGCAGGGTCATATTCTCTCTAAAGACTCAAGGTGAGAATCCTTTCTTGCCTCTTCTAGCTTCTTGTGTTCTTTGGAAATCTTTGGCGTTCCCCGGCTTGTAGATGCATCATTGTGGCCCTCAGTCTTCACTTGGTGTTTTCCCCGTGCGTCTCTCTCTTCCTTGTCCAAATTTCCCCCTTTTGTAAGAACACAAATAATAGTACAGTAGGGTCAAAGACCTCCTCTTAACTTGATTACCTCTATAAAGTCCCTATTTCCAAATAAGGTCTTCTTAGGTTGGAACTTCAACAAACCTTTTTGGAGGGATACAGTTCAACCCATAACAGTACTTAAGAGAAATGAAAACATGTGTCCACATGAAAACTTGGACACAAATCTTCATAGCAGTATTACTGATAAGAGCCAAAACACGGGAGCATCTCATATGCCCATCACCTAGTCACTGGATAAATTAAATCTGGTATATCCATTCAATATAATATTATTTGGCAATGAAAACAAATGGAATAGTCTTATATGCTACAACATGGGTGAACTTTGAAATCATTATTACCTAAAAGAAGCCAGTCACAAAGGAGCATATATTGTACAATTCTACTTAAATGAAATGTCTGTGTGGCCAAATCTTTAGAAACAGAAAAACAGACTGTTTCCTAGGCCTGGGGTCGAGGTCGTGGGGGGTGTGGAATGAAGAGTGACTGTAGTTAGTAGATACAGGTCTTCTCGTTGGGATGGTGAAAATGTGCTAAAATAGATTGTGGTGATGGTCACACAAGTCTGAATGTACTAAAACCCATCGACCTGGGTAAATGGTATGGTATGTCATTTATCTAATTAAAGCTGAAAAAATAGTTTAACCCATGGGATTGAAAGATGAAAGGATTTGATATTGGCCTAGAAAAAAAGATTTCGGGCAAATATATGGAAATGCTATCAAAGTAGGCATGCATAGATGTGGAGTACAGAATAAAAAATAAAAATAAAATACAACTTTGACCACTAAAGCAGAAATGGATTTATAGGGATTACTGAGAAATTAGCAGACATTAGTCCTCAGGCTTCATTTTAACTTTCTTCTGAAGGTCTTTTTTTTTTTTTTTTTTAATTAATGTGTAGAACTAAATCACCTTTCAGAGCTTATTGAAACTGAAGCAACCTTAATTTATAATTCCTATCCCTCTCACTATAAATAGGCCTTAGACAAAATGTGTTTATTTGGGAGAGAATTAATTTAAAAGAGCGGTGTTCATGCTGGAAGAGGTAACTGGTACAAGGAGATTCTAGTTGGAAGTATGAAAGCGGAAGAGGTGTGGAGTTGGCTGATGTCTACAGCCGAGGACAAGGGAAGTAGAAGTGAGGGAGACAGGGACTGGAAATGGGAAGACAGGTGACTAGGGAGGATGGCAAACATTCAGGGGAGAAAAATGCAGAAAATCCAGAATGTGCTATTGGCACAGGCCCACAGGTGGGGAACCAAATGGAGTGGATGGGAAGATGGGGGTCTGTCCATAGGCTGGTATGTAATATTGGCTCACCCATCCTGGGTAAGAGAACAAGTTTGTTCCTTTTTGGCCTGTAGTACCCCCTGGTGGTGGTGGTGGTAAGATTCATGGAGCCTTTTGATGTCACTGTGATTTCCTATAATGACTTCCACGTCTAACATAGAAGAAATCATTTCATGTATATAAAATGGACTAAACTAGATTTTAGGATCACTTGGTAAGTTAGTTATCATGTCTTATTTTAGGAGTTCTCTAAGTACCAATCTCCTCTAAGAGATATCTGCTCTGGTATATACTGAAAAATAAGATGCAAGTATTCTACGTCACAGCTCTAAGAATTACGTATATGTGACTTTCCAAGATCAGAAGAAATCGTGTGTTATTTCTCCCATGTCATTTCTATTAATGAGATTTTAGGTTTTTAAAAGTTTATTCTGAATGTACATGATCACTGGAATAGGAACACGAGTCCTCTTAACTCGCATGTCTGACCTTCAGAAGCCAAGCTATAGGGCATAATGTGGTACCTGATAAATTCCCAAACTAAAAGAAAATATTCCTTTGAATTTGGATGCTAACTCTTAAAGACTCCAAAATATTAGGTGACTCTCCCTTACTTTAAGTGGGGAAAATAGAGATTTTTATCTGACAGTAAGGACTACTTGCAATTTACTGGGGATTATATGTGTTTAGTGTGTTAAAAACATATTATAAAATTTACCGTTTTGCTTGCCAATTTATTCTTACTGTAAAGTTACATGACTATATATATATCACCATTAACCGTTTTCTGGTTAATATCTGTCATCCCAGTATAATTATTAATAGCCTTTCCTTTCACTTTCAGAAGTGCCCCACTTGATTAATAAATTATGTGGTCACCTTACTATAAATATGTTAGCCTTCACTAGTATTAAGAATGACTCTTTAGGCACCTGGGTGGCTCATTTGATTAAGCAACTGCCTTTGGCTCAGGTCACGATCCCAGGACTCTGGGATCAAATCCTACATCGGACTCTCTGCTCATCAGGGTGTCTGCTTCTCCCTCTGACCTTCCCCCTCTCGTGCTCTCTCTCTCTCATTTTCTCTCTCAAATAAACAA